AATATTTATTGATTTTCAGCCCCCAAGTGACTGTGGCTTCTCCCCAGCAGCAGATAATTTATGTAGTATCCGCACGGATTGTTATTCAAAAATTAACATCTATTACGATGGATGATTATAATGGATACAATGCACAAAACACACAGGAAAAACCATGTATGTCAAGGTAAACAAAACAGCAGAAAGCACCAAGAAAAACGAACCAGTTGAGCGAGGCTAAACGAGTCGTAACCTCGGTGTGGTTCGTAACCAGTCTTGTGATTGGTTCTTGACACATTTTGAACAGGCCACGCCTCCAAGTTGTGCCGTGCGTTCGGGCAAACCGTTAAGTATTCATAAATGGAGTCAATTTGTGTAGTTTTCTTGATTTATTCTGCAGATATAGATAAAATATAGGTAAAGCTTTGGCGAAACTAATATTCTTCAACCTGGTAGTTTTTTTAGATTTTATTTTCCATTCTGTTTGACCTAGTTTAAAAAATGTGAGATGGCTGGAGCCTTCATCCCTTGTCTATTTCTTACACTCGATACCAGCCGATACTCCCCCCCCCCCCGCGCTCATAGAGACTGCAGTTGATTATAGTTCCTGGGCTCCCTGTGGGCTGACATCAATATCTAGGAGGTGTTTCTGTCTACATTCAAAACAGATTCAAATTTGGCCAAAATGTGTTGACATGAATTTATTGCTCAAAATAAAACTGAATTGGTGATTTGATCAAAATGTGTGGATATTTTTATCATTTCCATAAATAGAATGTTTCTTTGTTGGACGTCATAGTTATGGCAATACATTACAATTTTGTTCATCTATCTCATTTTTGTTACATATTGTTTAGAATTGAGCATAGTGTCATGTTTCAATCTTCAGATACGTTATTAAAAAACTCTCTGGAATTCTAACTTTATAACTGAAAAACAATTTTGTTGATACACAGTACCCACTTTATATTTTTTTACAAGTTAAAACAAAACAAATATATTTTTGGGACAAACCAAACCAAACAAAAACATATATATTTTCAGCAACGTCAATTATAATGTCAACAGAAAATATGTGACATGTACCCGGTAGATAATAAAAAGGAATCCTCAATGAGAAAAATGGGTTTGACTATGCGTCCTAAATGTGTCTTGTATGTACCACTATATAACTCAAGCGACCAGGGCCGAACTGTCCTGACACCAACTTTTTTGGGAAGGGCGGGAAACATTTTCTATAGAATTTCGTGGAAGAGGGTGTGATTCACAGGAATATTTCACAGGGCAGTGGAAAAAACTTCTAAAAAAGATGTGGGAGTGGACCAGATCTCACTCAAACCCCGAAAATTTTGAGAAGCGGGTGAAGAGTTCAAGAATTAATCTGGAGGGGAGTTATAGAATTCTCTAACCGGAGGGGACGTTATGAACAGTTTTCAATTTCCCCTTTTCATTAAAAATTAGTCAATCCAACATTTTAGACCTTAAAAATGCATTTTATAATAAAAAGAACACTTTTTAGATCACTCCATTGACTGTGCCTGAAAACTAACATTTCAAGTTGGTAAACGCCGCGTACACTGCCGTATAACTTGATTCGCCACAGTCGCCCACTGCGTCGCTTTCGATCGCAGATGTTTGATGTGGGTTCCATCCGACGTATACAACGCGTCCCACGAAATTCAAATTCACGCTGTGTGACAACTGTGGAACTACTAGTATTATTATTCGCAAAATATGCACCAAAACCATCGAGCTGCTTACTCTATACCCCGGCTCTATACTTTCATAATAATAATAATAATAATAATAATAATAATAATAATAATAATCTTTATTGAAACCGTATCCCGGAGTGGGATCTTAGTTGAAAATACAATAAAGTAATACAAAAAAGATAGCAAACAAAAAAAAAACAAAAAAAAAAAAAAATAAAAAAACACAAGACATTCAAAGACAATAGAAAATAAAAAAATAAAATTAAATTATTTGGCGGTTGGTTGAGGCAACTGGCATTTTAAGATTTTTTCTTGTCGTAATTTGAAACAAGTGTGGATGAATTTTCCTAGTTCAATGATTGTTTTGTCATTTTTAATTTTTAGTATATTTGTAAGTTTTCGTCATCCGTCCCCAAGTTGCTTATATTGTATTTAATATTCTTGATCATGATTTCTCGTTCCTTCTTGTATAAATCACAATTGAGAAGAAAATGTTTTTCGTTTTCAATTTCCTGTTTGTCACATATGAGGGCGCAATACCGAGATGTCACGTGATCCACACTCTAATGTTCAATATGGTAAAAATCGCCATGTTCTTCCGGCTGGGCGTTGTGGCGTGCGCCTGTAATCCAGTTACTAGGAGGCCGGGGTTGTTGGACGGTTTGAGGTCGGGAGTCCTGTTAGTCGTTGTTCTATGGAGATCAGGCGTCCACGCTAAGCTCGGCATCAATATGGTCGGCCCGATGGAGGTTAGGACGACCAGGTTGTATAATGAGGGACGTATCGGCCCAGGGTGGAAACACAGCAGGCAAAAGTTCCCGTGTGGAGCAGTAGTGGGATCGCGCCCGTGAATAGGCAGCGGCTAGTAGCTCGGCCAAAATAGTCGGACTCAATCCTTTTTTTTTTTAATTTAATTATTTTGTCAGTATTTAATAATATTTATTATTCACAAACATATCGGATCATATTTGTGAACCATTTTTTTGAAAAACACCGACTGCTTTTGCATAAAATCAACATCGCCATTGTGTATGTATATGTTTGTTTGTGATTTATAATTACATTCCTTACAGCCTGACCCTACATACAATACGTGTCATCAGGGAGCTCCCTGGTGTCATTGACATCATTCTACTTCGATGGAATGCTAATGGCTAACCATGGAACTAAACACCATGGGTGAACTAACGTTGGACTGTAACGCACTTATTTGACCTTGTATTGTTAATTGACAAATATAGGGTCTTTGCAAAGATGCTCTCGATGGTGCATTTTCATATAAAACAAATCATGGGTCAATACTGCCGTATTGTACTATATCGGTGTTGTGTCAATAAATTATTATTATTATATATATACTTATTTTAAAATTTATATAGATAGATATATGTGTAGTAATACTTCAAATGAGGTGGTTCATTACTATTAATTTGTAGTCTTGAATCTGAAGGTTGGTATAGAATCCACCCAGTTGTTTTGATTTATTCGCCATTGTAGCCTGTTGATCTCAGAATTAATGAGGTTCGTCGACCATGGAGGTAAAAATAGATTTATATTTATGATTCGTCTGAGTATTATTCCTAGCGTGTTGGTAATAACGAACTGTATACTAGTATACAGTTGAAATAAGACAAACCATTTTAACAAAACGAAAGCCAAAACCAAGGGGCCTAACGCTATATGAGGTACAACAATAAAACGAACACAATCAAAACACTCATCTAAGGGAAAGTATGCACACACTGTGACTCCCCCGGATGTAATTAATGCAGTGGGCGCGTCACTCTCCGATCCGGAAGTCCTTGGAATCTTAATCTTTCTCATGTTTTACGGTAACTACTGTTCACTATAGCTGTATTTGAAGGTGTTAGTAAGCGTGGTACGCTCGTTGTCAGGTGATTGCAGAGACCAACCGTGAGATATGGGTATTCTAACGAGGCTAACCGCGACGGTGTATCTATTACAGATAACAGTATGTAAGTATTGACGTTATGCACGATGTACCTCAAACCTCCCATATTTCGCTGACCCGTGATCGTAGTGTACACGGACAGAAACATTCCCACACTGACCATTAAATATGCAGTTATCTATCGTTAATATTCTGAGATTTATTTCGCTTTATTAAAAATTACTCGGTTTACTTTCATTGCTACGCAACCCAGCGATATGATCGGTATGTCCATGGACGTGCTAACACATGGTATGTCCATTGGTTCTGTATATCAATAAAAACAACTCATTTTAATATGCCTAGCGCGATGCTTTACACGATTTAACGACTCGAGTTTACTTTGGAACTAAGGTTGGACTGGGCCCAGCCCGCCGTTTCGTAGTGA